ATTAACTTCATTAAATGTAACATTGGATATATTTTGAGAGTATGTTTCTTTTGTTTGAAAATGCTACTGTATTTTTTTATAAATTTAATCTTTTGTTTGAAAATGCTACTGTATTTTTTTATAAATTTAATTAAATTTAAATAAGTTTGATTGGAAAAAGTTAAAACCACTTGTAATATGAAACGGAGGTAGTACAACTGAAAGAGTAGAAGAGTACACGTTTTAATTTCAACAAAAGCTATAACTTGAGCACCACCGTGGCAGAAATCTATATGTGCTCATGGAGGATAGCTGTATCTCCTGGCACTCAAGCTCAAGTCGATCACCGTCGGGCTTCCACCATTGCTTCAGACCGTGCCCGTCACCGTCAATGCTCGAGTTCTTCCACAACCTCGCCGATGGCAGGAGATGCTGCAGCGCTCCTTCTCGTCGTCGCCGATCAAGGAGAAGAACATGCCAAAGTACGACAGCATCTCATTGTCGTCATCTGCACCTTTCTCGAAGTAGTCGATGTAGCTTTTGCAGATGATGTCCCCCTCGTGCACGTACAGCTCTGGCGCCCCGCCGCCCACGACGTCTTGAACAGTTTCTCCATCTGCTCCGTATGAGGGCATGCTTAGTTCGCAAAAAGAACATTTTTAGGTGTCATATCGGATGTTTGATCGGATGTCAGAAGGGATTTTCGGACACGAATGAAAAGATTTCATAACTCGCTTGGAAACCGCGAGACGAATCTTTTGAGCCTAATTAATCCGTCAGTAGCACATGTGGGTTACTGTAGCACTTATGGCTAATCACGCCGGCTCGCCTTCGCCACCGCCGATTGGTGATTTTGTCTCCACGGCTGGTGGATTCTGCCACCATTACCGGGTGTCTTCGTCTTCACCGCCGACCGCCTTTGCAGCCGCCGACTGGTGCTTTCGCCTCCACGGCTAGTGGACTCCGCCGCCGTTGTCAGGCGTCTTCTTTTTCACCACCGGCCACTTTTGCCGCCGCCGGCTGGTGGTTTTGCCTATATAGATGGTGGACTCCGTCATCGTTGATGGACATTTTTATCTTCACAGCCGGCCGCCTCAGTTGCGTCCATGGTTGATGTTTTTGTTGCTATTGATGGACGACCTTCTCCCCACATCGGCTACCTCTGCCGTCATTGATGGGAATATTACAAAGCTAAATCATTATTAATTTTCTTCTTTATATGATATTTTTATTTTACTCTGCCTCACTACATCAATTGGTTCTCCATTGAGTAGTGAGTCGTGGGTTATATCATATTTTTTCAACAATTTTCATAGTATTTATCTTGATTGCTTGCGAAATAATCCAAGTAAAAAAAGTATCGATCGAGTTATGGAGCTCAATTTCCCTATTCTTTTCGTTTAGTTTGTCGATGGATAGTTGCCTTTGGGCCGATTCAAACCACGTGGGGACTTGTTGGATGGAGTGTATAATGCAAGGTTTTAAGTATTACTCGCAAGAAATCAAAAGCAGAGAGATAATTGTGAAGACGATGAAGTCTATCAACGACGATGTAATAGACCAGCTGTGTAGACGAGGACACCAAGAGATTAATCTCGTGACCTTCTAGAAACTGAACGAGATTGAAGTGATCTTTGAGCGTAGTCCTGTAGGAGAACACATTCGTTGACAGCCTTGATCAACTTCATCTTGCCGTTGGCCTGCAGGGTGTGCAGGAGCAGCTACGGGGCGGGTCGATGCCTGCAGCGACGCAGAGCTCCGGGTGCGTTTGCAGCAACATCTCGGCTTTTCGGCACAATATATACATGCAAACAAATATAATCGTGATTGGGTTAGCATATAAAATAATGCATGGATGTGTTGTTGATTATGGGAACAGGTAAGCAAGTTAATTTGTTTGCTCCCTCCATGTCTTGCATGCTCCCCTGTACACACATTGGTCGACCATGGTTTCAATCAACAGCAATCCATCTGCGTGGGAGGGAGCAATCCATAAAGTAGCACTCGGCGACGGTGAGGTGATGGACGCGTCGTGATTTCAATCGGCGTGTGAATACAACAAAAATACCAGGAGATCAAACAACGATTAGAAATTAATCTAATAAAAATTAGATTGGAACAGCAAACCAGATTGAAATATTGGAGCCGTCGATGATGTAACGCTGCCGATTAAATAATTAGCTTGCATGGTGATCTGGTTCTTCGGTTTGTGCTTGACGATCGAGGATGTATGTCCAGCATATACACACGGTCATGTCATCTGATGCCTCTGTTTGTTTGATTGGTTTGGCTCGATTGCCATTAATGTTGCCATGCATATGTATTAGATTGGAACACACTCACGTGAAGGTACTTGATAACTCGGGGAATAACGGACGCTCAATTAATTGCAGATTGATTTGATCGGTGGTCATCCTCTTATTTGATTGACTTGGGGCCCGTTTATTTCGCAAAAAGAAAATTTTTGGATGTCACATCGGATGTTTGATCGGATATCGGAAAAAGTTTTCGGACACGAATAAAAAAACTAATTTTATAAAACTCGCCTGAAAACCTCGAGACGAATCTTTTGAGCCTAATTAATCTATCATTAACACATGTGGCACTACTAAAAAACCCTCATAAAGAATGGCTCATAGGTGTCAGTTCATTTAAAACCGATACCTATGGAGCTTTTCCCACCTTCCTACGATGGAAAAACATAGAACCGACATATTTAAACATTATAGGTGCCGGTTCTAGCCAAAAAGGGCAGTTATACTATAGGTGCCGGTTCCAGCGATAGAACCGGCACCTATAATATATTATAGGTACCTTTTTTTAAAAAAAAAATCGGCACCTATAGCTTTGAGCCGAGCCCATCAGAACTGCACCCACCGCGCGTCCTTATCCACTCGATCGTTCTCCACCTTATCCATCTCGCGTCTCTCTCTCGTCCCTCAGCTCTCGCATCTCCTTCCCCTCTCTCTCTCGTGGTGCCTGCCCGGCGAAAACGGCAGCGGCGGCGGTGGCCGCGCCCTCGGCCAGATCCGGCAGGAGGGGAGGCGGCGCCGGCGGGCACCCCACGGGCGGAGGCGGCGGGCTCCCGCGGCCATGCCCTTCCCTCCACGGATCCGGCGAGAGGGGAGGTGGCAGGTTCCACAGCCGCTGGCGGGTACCCCACGGGTGGCGGCGGCGGGCTTCCCTCCACCAGATCCGGCGAGATGGGAGCATGTGGGGAAGGCAGTTGGGAGTCGGCGGGCTCTCGCGCCGGCGGCTGCCTGGTGGAGGCAGTTGCGGCGCACCTCGGCAGTGGTGGCGGCCGCGCCATCCCCATGTGGCGACGGCGGCAGGGGTGGAGAAGGACACTAGTGGTGCAGGCGAGGTGGCGGCTGGCGGCTTGAGTTCTTTAGTGTTTTTCTTTTCGAGTTCATGAGTTATTGTTGAGTTCTAGTCCTAATTTTGTTGAGTTATTGTCCCAAACTTGTTGAGTTCTTAATGCTTCGTACCATGCATATACTTGTTTCCTGTTGTTTTTGATCTCGGATCCGAGAGGCGGTGATGAAGGGGAGTAGGGCTGGGTTCGAGGGAGGATGACAACGACGGTGGCGTGTGGTTGGTGAGTTCGGCTCGGATTCGAGCCAACTCTCTGTTTTTTTTTTGGCTCGAGCAATGCTAAAGGTGCCGATTCTATTTTCCTTATAGGTGTCGGTTGCTAGTATTTGTGCCGACCAATTGGTGCCGGATGAAAACACGACACCTATGACCTTTAGGAACCGACACCTATGGCCTTTTTTAGTAGTGTGGGTTACTGTAGCACTTATGGTTAATTATGGACTAATTAGGCTCAAAAGATTCGTCTCGCGATTTCCCCCCAACTGTGCAACTATTTTTTTAATCTACATATTTAATGCTACATGCATATGTCCAAAGACTCGATGTAATACTTTTGGGAAAAAATTTTGGGGAACTAAACCAGGCCTTGATCCAGATGGAATTTTCAGCGTCGTTGGAATCTAGCTTCTTGTTGAGAACATGGCTCGGATGAAGGTAGTACCAACAGTACTGACAAATAGTTCCATCACACTTCTCGACGGAAAACTCGATGCAACCCCACCTGATGCGCCAACTGTCGAAACTGAAATTCGGCAATATGAAAAGACGGTAGTGCACGAGACCTAAAAGTAGATGGATGCGAAGATAAGGATTTAGACAGGTTCAGTGAGAGGTAATAACCTACTCCTGTTTTAGGGATTTTAGGATTGTATCCGCCGAGTTGTGTATTGATCTTACGATCTGTTTATGAATCTCTGTGTTCACTCTTTAGAGGGGGCTCTTGCCTGCCTTATATAGGTTGGGAGGCAGGGCTACAAAGGAAAAACCTAGCCTGGACACGGCATTACTTTACTAATCTATTACATGGTAGTACCTGATCGAGGCTATGTAATCATACCATAAGATATAAGACAACATAACAACCGAGTCTTACCCTATTATATAATATAGGATCTGGCCCATCTTCTATATCTGGTCGAATATGGAGGCCGTGTGGGTACCCGGTACCTATATTCTCCACATTGGGAAAGCTCAATGCCAAACAAAGCCTAAACCATCAACGGTGGAATGCTCGCAAGATGTTTGTGCTGCTAATTTACCGCAGCGTTTTCGTTGTTTTCTTCTCCTTTTATTCCAAACTGAAACGAAATGTCCATAGGTCCTATATATGTGCGGGCCACAAGTCCCATAGTGTCGCGTGCCATATTGCAGACGATCAGAACAGGGAGCGAGCGACCCAGACTTCACCACAACGTGAACACGCACGCATGTCTGTGGATCCTACAAACTCTCTGTGGGAAAACAAACTGAAAGCCAAAATAGAAATAGGAAACTAAGGAATTAAGGAGACATGATGCAATAATATAGCTAGGCTAACACTAGAAAGGAAAGACACGCATCACACACGCTTACGAACAATACAAAGTTACAATGCAATTCTAACCCGACCTGGAAACCCTGCGTAGCGGCAAGCCTGCCCTCCAATGCTATGCTGAAGGACAGTTGTACTGTGTCTTGGTCAAGCTCAGCTCATTGTCCGGCTTCCACCACTGCTCGAGGCTATGCGCCTTGAGGACCCGCTTCTTGAGACGGTTCGCTTTGCGGAGCAGCGTACACTTGGACGGGTGATTCTCCACGTCATTGTCCATCCTCGAGTTCTCCCACAGCAGTGCCGACGGCAGGAGGTGCGACCGCTCCTTGTCTTTGTTGAGCGCTGAGAAGAACATGTCTCGGTACGACAGCTTCATCGCCGACATGCCGATGCTAGGGAAGCGTTCCTGCACCAGTTGCCTCTGCTCGAAGTAGTCGACGTAGCCCTGGCAGATGGGGTCGCTGTCGTGCACATATAGTTCTGGCGTCCATTGCGACAACCGTACGTTTGAACAGGTCTTCCATGTGCTCCTCGTGGGACTTCACGATCTTGCTCAGGCCTACCTTGAGGAGGGAGCTCGTGGCGTATAGATGCATCTTGGCCTTCTCATTCGGGCGCAGCAAGTAGATTGCCGGCGCTGGCGACACTTGCGGCGGGTTGAACAGAAAGGTGGGGAGGTTGAAGCCTTTCTCGGCCATGGACCGCCCGACATCTAGAGCCTGCGACGCACCAAGTGAGTGCCCGGCGAGCCACATAGTACAGGAGTTTGCACCACCTTGGAGGAGTCCTTCAACTTCGTCGTGGGTGATGTCACAACGATTGGAGTTGGAAAATGTATTGTATACGATCTTGATGTCATGTATTAGATCTCCCAGGTTGGTAGGAATGGTGCCTCGGAAGGCGACGACATAGCTTGGAGCGGACGGGTGGCGGGGCAGGCGGGCTGGTGGCTCGTACTCGTAGGTGGCTCCGAAGATTTCGTCATCCCGGCCGGAGTCAGAGCTACCCTGGTCGGAAGCGTCCATGTCTATGGAGACCCAGCTGTCATCCTTGATCACGTTGCGGCAGCGGAAGCCGAAGCTTTTCCACCATGCCGGCGCGAGTGGGTTGCTCCTGTCCTTCATCATCACCATAACGCCTTTGACAAGGCATGCGGCGACGCAATGGCGGTGCTCCTCCTTGTCCCTGCATATATGCACGTGGCATTGATCGACACAGAATTACTGCTTATGCTCACCAGCAGCTCATCATGAATGCAGATATGCGGAAGTGTATTTTTGTCCCTCGAGGGTATATTTTCTCGTTTTGTGCATGACGTTGAAAAAGTTATGAAACAATTTTAAAAAAAATTGTCAAGATAGATCAATATATGATATATCTTTTTGCAAACATGCAAGTAAAAATTCGACTTATACAATCTTGAAACAAAAATAACAAATTTGACCGTGAGTTACACGTTCTATTCATTGTTAAATTTGTTATTTTTGTTTATACTTGTATAAGTTAAATTTGAATATGCATGCTTGTGAAATGATATATCACATATTGTTCTATATTACTAAATTTTTTGATGACTTAAAACATGTAATAGAGTTTTCACAGATATGCATATACCAGTCAATCACTATTCCAGAAGAACCAGTGCAGTCGTTTTTCGCCATCATATGCACCGGGCCGGAGTCGGCGAGGTCAACGTCGCTTGATGAGGCCATCTGCTAATGTGATCGATATGGAGCAAGCTGCAGAGGAAGCAAACGGATGGCTGGCTTATTAGTGACTTACTCACAACTCTCTTCTTCTTACGGAGAACGAAAGCTTGAGGAGGAAATACAATACCCGGCCTACTTCTTCAGTTCTTCGTAAGAAGTTTGCTCGTTCGTGCTTAATTTGCTGTGAAAAGCTAAGTGCTAATGTGCTTCTATTTATAGTTATACTGGACTAGAGGTAGCTGAGGCTAATAATAGTTGCATCGACTTCTTGACTTAAACTACCTGCGGAGCTTCTCTTTTATTTTTCCGAGGAAAACCGTTGACTTCACAAGTGTATAAAATACTGTAATAACAGGTGGTACGTCGCTGAAACAAGATAAGAGTATCATGTACCCACATTGCCTTTCATCGCATATGGGTTTGCTCAACTTCCCATCGACAACTGATCGATCTCATCTGCGTCCGTGCCCAATCGGATGGCTCACGTGTTAGAATACTATATTGAATGCTGCAGTATTCTCTACTGTTAGTATAATACTACTAGGTAGTATTAAGAGTAAATCGGTAATTTACTAATACAGTGATTAGGGATAACATTATCATTTATGTTTTTTTTTATCCATTACGTTGGCATCGATTATATATATTCCATTGAAAAAGCCAAAAGAGAAGGAAAAAAAGTTTAGTTGTCACTTCTAATGATGATTAGGGATGCAAGCGGGGCGGGCAAGTGGATTTTTTTTCCCGCTTATTCCACTTCTAGTTCATTTTTTCTTCTAAATTTTATGCTACCATATAAAAAATAGACTAGCAGGCGGGTTTTTATGCGGGTAGCGGGACTACCCACTTGCATCCCTAATGATGATCAACACCCCCCCGGCACACATTTTCTTTTACAATGATGCCCCTTAACGTTTCTAATACCTCTAACTACTAGGGTGGTAGTATAAATAGATCTAAACTCTTTGATCAAACTAGATCAACGGTTTAGATTGTTTCAACTACAAGTAGACAGCACTATAGTGGGGCTCGATAGATTCTCGGCAAGAGGATGTAGACCTTTTTAGGCTTCTACTGCACAAGTAAGATCATGTCTGAGGAGCCTAAGATTTTAAGAAGTAATTTGTGAGAAGCTAGCTAGTGAAAATTCGTAGAAACTCATTTTCTACAACTTCTCAGGAATCTGAGTGAAAATCTAGATTGTTTTGAGGGGGGAATCTCTAGCTACCAAAAGCTCCCATAAACCGACACTAAATATTACTCCCTTCATTCGTAAATACTTTTGCTTAGTGCTATTCATATTTAAGCTTTTATTGTTTGTCCTTTTCCAAAAAATATATAGATACTTCAAAAGATACTGCATTATTTAATTGTTTTGCATCTCAAAAACTAAGAATTGAAACCGAAATTGTTCCCATCAATAATGACAAGTATGTGGAAATAGACAGAGTACTAGTAACTTGTTGATGATCGAGACTCGATCCCAATCGAACTTATGCCTTAACCCATATTTAACATCCAACCAAATTTCTTTTCTATACTAGAAAAAGCCTATTCTATGTCCTAAACTTGTAGGAAAGCCAACAACTCATCTCAATTTAAAAATGGAAACCATCCATCCCATACCTTTCACTTTACATCCTAAAAAATCGCACCGGACACCGGACCGGCGGGCCTACTACTGGTTCAATTGCTGGTGTTATGAATATATAGTACCAGCACAAAACAAACATGATTTGTTACTTTTGTTACTACATAAGTATATGAAATTTAGAGTTGGATGTTTGTATATGGTGATTTATATGATTATGTCATCATAATTTATCTTGTAAAATTTTGCCAAATTTTTATGCATATATTTCCGGGAAGTGATGCAACTAGCCAGTGAGCTGTTGCAAGGATCAAGTCAATGATTAATTAATGAGAGGGATTGATCGATCCTAGCGATATCTAGTTAATAGTCTATCCGTACTAAAGTATAAAAATCTTATCTAAAATATAATAATTCAAGATTAAAAGTATAGAACACATCCTTTTACCGCAAATCTAAACAAGATGTCTATCAAAATTCGTAGTGTTAGCATATATTATATCTGATCTACCTAAATTCATAGTATTATGATATATCTTATCCTATTTTATATGGATATTGACACATCATATTACTCCGAATCTAGATATTCCCGTATTTGTAGTATTAGGATGTGTCAATGTGTAGTATTAGATTGATTTTTAATGGGACGGACAGAGGACGTAGTAGAAGAGATTGTACCTGCCGTAAACCTATCCTATGGACTCAACTTCTAAAATTAGTTGGATACACATGGGTGCACTTTTTCTTGGACCCATCTAACACAAAAACACACGTGCAGGAGGCGAAAGATGATGGAAGGACGCACGAAGACTGTTGTGTGGCAGAATACACTTCGTACAATTTTCTCTCTTTTTATTTTTCTCGATTCAACTAATACAATAGAAACTACTTGTATAAATAGACAAGCTTTTAAAGCCCAGTTGGACAAAGATGGCAGCTGTGCAGTTCTTATGTCGATGTATGCAACATAGAGCTATCTAAGTGGGGTTATCATTTATATTTTGTATCAACCTGCTACAACTCCAACTATTGTTCTTGTCAAGATCAAAGAAGAGGCGCAAACGTGGATAAGGCCGGGGCCGCCCGAATCACGGAGATCATCCCTTCAGGAGAATAGCCTCCTTAAGCTTTTACGGGTCTATGTTTTTTTTATTAGAGCTTGTACAGTTTTTGTCTTTGTAATTTTACCCCTTTCTCTATTAATACAAAAGTGGCAAAGCTTTTGCCTCTATTTTCAAAAAAAAAAATATGTCGACTGTTTTAGTTTCCGTATTATCTTAAAATAGGATGAAAATTGTAGAGGGGTTTTTTTCACCGTTTCAGCAGTATACTATTTGGGACTATTATATTTCTACCCCTGTTTTGGTGTCGAATATCGATTTTACCTTCACTTTTTAGAGTTTTTGTTTTTCTCTTCAATTTTTTTAACCGAACAAGGCGTTAACCCCTGGTTTAGATGGAAGCGAATGGGGTTAGACTTACTGCAGTAAAGAAATAGAGAGAAAATGAAATAATGATTTTTTAAATTATTCATCGACCTTTTTACCCCTTGGAAATATCCAAGTAGGGATGGCCCTCCCGGCTCGCATTCCTCCCGTAAAAACCCAAGGCGGTGACGATGATAGTGCGTCAGCCCGGCAGGTGGCGCACAGGAGAGCAGGGGAGTGGGCCAGGCGGCAGCAAGGAGGGGGCCAGGGGAGGGGCAGAGCGCAGGGGCGGGGCAGGCCGACGGTGAGTTGGGTACGTGGTGAGGTGTGTGTGGTGAGGTGAACGCGGCGGTGAGCAGCGTGAATTCGGCTACGGGACTTGATTTGCTTGACTTTGAGCACTTGGCATGGGACGAGCAATAGGCTGCAGGTTTGGATGTGCTTCACTTTGTGATGTAGATTTTTCTGACTTTGTGATTCTAGCTATACTTCTGCTTGTTGTGTTAGGAATTAATGTGTCAAACTTGTGTTATTCTATCTTTTTTTTATCAAAATGTGTCCAAACTTCTGCAAAATTATGTTAAATTTTGAAACAAAATTTTGCCCAGTCTGTCAAAATTGTCATACTTGTGAAAGATTATCAGAATTGTGAGCTGCATGCACAAATAGTAGCAAATACACAATTGATATATAAAAATAGGGTCAAATGTGCAATGGCAAGTAAGGGTATGGATGTCTTCTCATCAAAAATTTTACACCGGCAAGATGTCCATCCAAAATAGAGGTAAAATTTGGCTTTGTTTAAAAAAAATAGGGGCAAAAAGAAACCCAAAAAAACAGTCAAGAATTTCCCAAGAAATTACTGTATGTACCGATGATCCGTTGGAATATAAAACTTAACCATAACCCTTGTGTATTAATATATGTTGATGGTTTAATATTGTTATGAAGTATTTAAATTAGTTCCTTGCTCGTTTGAATCTTTATCAATATAGTTACATATGACGTTAGTTCAAAATATAAGCTTGGCAGTTAACCTTACCATTTAAATATTTGAATCATGTTGTTTCCGGGAGTCTATCCAATAATTTTGATTCATATATTTTCCGATGTTCCAATGATACTGATATTGTTATTGCATCCCTTGTTATTGTTAACGTTTTCATGCTTTACTGTTCCGATTCCTTTTGATGGAAAAATGGTAAAGAAGAATGATTTGAGCATCTATTATCTATCTATCTATTATATACTAAAAGTCCATTAAACTTTCTATAAACGCTCTCAAACCGCCATATGGCGTTCCTACAAACGCTCCTAGATCACCACGTGGCACAGTCTAATCTCACCGTTGATTTTCATTTAAGTTGGTGGACTTATTATTTTATACCGTTAGATTAGATCTATAGCTACCATCCTTTTTAATTAAATTGGTGTACCTAAATTCTTGCCCCAAAAATCCGATCGTGCTTTCTGTTGCCTACTTCAGTGCCTTCCGTCCGTGTTGGGCTCAAGGCCTCGATAGAGGAAAGCTTTCCTGCTGCCGCCTAGACTTGGATTAGGTTTCAAATCAAAGCCTCCACACAGATTAATCAATGGGGAAAATGAGCTACACGAGACTGGGATTGTATAAGCGTTTGACTTTCAGTAGCTGGCAATGTAATCACAAACAGCAGCATTTGATCATTTGGTGTAATCCACAGTCAGCAGCAGCTCAACGAAATTTTACCATCTATAATTGGTGATTAGGTTTAATAAGTAACTATGCAAACGAATTTTCTCGATGCTATTCCAGCACACAGATCGGTTTCATACTGTGCTATTAGAAGGGTTTGAATAAGTACGTACAGTTCGTAAAAAAAAAAAGCTAAAAAGCGACGTCTTTTGCTGAAAAGTCACGATATTATTCCTTCGCTCCTCATTCTCAAATCAAAAATTAAAATATCGTTATATCAGTATGTACGTACATATGAGGCCTCCTTTGT